CTCAGCCCCACATTAAAAAATAAACTAAATAAAGGTATTGTGTCCATCCACAATGCAAGAAAAAAAATTTTATGTTTGTTCATGTTTTTATGACTGGAAGAAAATGTGAAAAGAAACACCGAAAGTTGCGACCAGTATGGTGAATCTACAAAGTCACCTGGGACAAAGGTTCCCAGATGGAACCTTTGTTCATACTCTGTGATCCCATGGTATAGTTTTTGTCCTCATGGTCTGCATCTTTTTTTTTCTTTTTTTTATTGGTTGTTCAAAACATTACAAAGCTCTTGACATATCATATTTCATACATTAGATTCAAGTGGGTTATGAACTCACATTTTTACCCCAAATACAGATTGCAGAATCACATCAGTTACACATCCACATTTTTACATAATGCCATATTAGTAACTGTTGTATTCTGCTACCTTTCCTATCCTCTACTATCCCCCCTCCCCTCCCCTCCCATCTTCTCTCTCTACCCCATCTACTGTAATTCATTTCTCTCCTTGTTTTTTTTCCCCATTCCCCTCACCACCTCTTATATGTAATTTTGTATAACAATGAGGGTCTCCTTCCACTTCCATGCAATTTCCCTTTTCTCTCCCTTTCCCTCCCACCTCATGTCTCGGTTTAATGTTAAGAAAAATATTTTTTAAGAGAGAGAGAGAATTTTTTAATATTTATTTTTCAGTTTTCAGTGGACACAAATCTTTATTTTTATTTTTATGTGGTGCTGAGGATCAAACCCAGCACCTCACAAATGCCAGGTGAGCACGCTACTGCTTGAGCCACATCCCCAGCCCAGAAAAAAAAATTTTTTTAAAGGGTGGGAATGTCACTCAATGGTTAAGCACCTCTTCGTTGAATCCCTGGTACCAAAAAAAAAAAGAAAGAAAGAAAGAAAACAAAAGAAAAGAAGCAGAACTACCTTGTCTTTCAGTGGCCCCTCCACTGCATTGTACCAACAATCTCACATTGTGTCAGTTGGCAAAAAAGTGTATACAAGGTCCAGTTCCAATAACACAAAGAAGACCAACATGGAGTGTATTTGGAACACAAATGCAATGAAATGATACTGAACTCTGTCCACACCTTTGACTTTATACTTTATGTATGTATACATGTTACACCATTTTACAAACATTTGAACTTCCATAAAACAACAATCTATCATGACAAATGAAGAGGTTCTCATCTATTCCACAAAATAAGGAAAGAAGCACTCCCAGGCACTGTATACTATACTGCTATATTATTTACTCTTCAAATTCAGTCTGTCTCATTGACTATACTGTTACCTAAAAGATAACAATTTGTATAGAAAATCATAAATATAAGAGAGAGGAAGCAAATGGTCAATATATACAAATACACACATATGCACTACAAGCAAAGAGAAAAATATATAAAACTAATATGTCCTTTTAGCCCACGGCCAGCACAAGCTTCATAAATGAAGGTTCGGCTACGTGGCAAATCCAAAGGGAGTTTGAATTAAAGAGATAGATTCTAATTACCTTTAAACCAGATGGCCACAACAACCTCCAGCCTCAAGCTACCTATTAGAGTAGCGAGGTTTACTGAAAAGGCCAATAAGCAAGAGAGAACATGCCAGGGAGTGAACTTTTATTGGGAAATGAAAAATTCTGGGGAAAATCCCATCCAATGAAGATTAGAGTGGGCAGTGTCCCAAGGTCAGGTGCGATGATTGGGTCTTCAGGGGTTGTGGCTAGACACGCCTCCACATGGACAAGCCCTCGGACCTGAGAAGGGTGGGGAAAGCTCTGGACACAAAGATGTGTCTAAGTGCCTCTCCCAGCCAGGGAGGTAACTCAAATCACGTGCGAGGATGGCCTCCCACATGTCCTTGCTTCTAGAAGCACTGTGTATTATAAGCATTCTCTTTATTCCAATTCCCATTCTGTGTCTTCTCTCCCTCAGTCAGAAAACTGGTCACAAAAACCTGGTAGAGTGAATACACCTTTACTCTTGCAGGGCCTAAGTCTTAATAGTCCCATCTCTTCTTGTTTGCTGTAGCTTTCCATTAACCCTTAAGATCAGACTTGGAAGAGTAAATATACTAACTGGACCTATGCTCATGGTCAAAGCTTTCTGAAATTCACCTTGCATCTGAAAATTCTCTGTTTCACTTATGTTTACTCTAGTAATTCTTGCCTTTCCTCAGTTGCAGCATTGACACAAAAGAGAAATGAAGGGGAAAATCAGAAGGTAGAAGGAAGGGTGGATAAATCAAAGTACATTATATGCATGGATGACATTGTCACAATAAAACCCAATATTTTGTACGATGAATATGTACTAATAGCTTTTAAGGGGGAATCCATTCCCTTATCCTTAATTCCCTGGATTAATAGATCACAATATTCTCAATGGTACCAGAAAGTTACTGAAGTAGAGAAAAAACAATTATGTTCCATTCTTCCCAGAATAGAAAGCAGATACCATAGAAAGTTGGACTCTTCTCTTAAAACTCCATCATTCATTGGAGTTTGGAACTGAAATATACTTCAAAGGCTCATGTGTTAAAAGCTTGGTCCCATCCAGTGGCCCTTTTGGGAGGTGGTAGAAACATTGGGTTGTGGGGACTAGGAAACAGGAAGGAAGAAAGTAGGTAAATGTGGCTGTGTCCTTGAAGACTATGTCTTATATGGGGCCCCTTATTTCTCCCTCCCTTCCTCCCTCTCTCTCTTTCTCTCCCTGTCTCTCCCTCACCCATGTGCTGTCACACCTATCTAAAATACTTTTTAATACCAAAAAATATGGCTCATTATATTTAAATTCCACATTCCCTAAACCAGTTCAAAAAGAGTCAACATTGATCTTCTGCTATCTGAATATAAAACATGAACTGAATTCTCATAACCACACATCTGAAGTCTGAACAAAGAGCAGCAGGATAAGCCCACTGAGCCTTCCAAATTTCATCTCAGGGGATTTTGCCACAGGGACTCTGTAGCCCCAGGAATAGCCACAGTAAAGGATGGGACATAGACAGCAAGGGATGCTTTGGGGACAAAACCTTGCAGTGTCAGGGAAGTAATGGAGATTCAGCCTCTGGGGGAGCACTATCAACATCCCAGTTTGAGCTGAACCCCTTCCTTGGAGTGCTCAGGGTCTCCTCCAAAGGATATGAATTCTTAAGGGGTATAGGGAGCCCCTCAGACCCACTCTCCATGGAGCAGATGGTCATGGACACATATCCATACATAAACATGAAATATGGAAAGAGAGATCCAGAGAAGGAAGCTGGAGGGAAAGAGAAAATGAGGGACCCATCAATAATGTTATAGAAGGAGACATCCCCTTCACTGTAGTCCAGGAAAACCCCCACTCTGCAAAGATTCTGCCTAAGAAATAACTGAGTCACAGGATAAGTCCTGGCAAAATATATACAGTTACTTTTCCCCATGACCCAAAACCCCAAATCTGGTAATTCCATATATGAGTCTGTTCTTTTTGAATCTTTCCTACAAACTCCTAGAGTCCACTTGCTGAAGGGTCCATTCTTTATCTCCACTTCCCAGGACCATCTTCCTGATGTGATGCCCTCAAGACCCAACACACTGCATTTTTCATCACAGTACAGAAAGGGGCAGATAGATATCAGACCCATCCTTTCATGAGAGACAGAAAGCCTGTGGGCAGCAGAGTCTGGATCCAGAGTGACAGGCCCTGTTGAGAGAGTTATCAATCATGCAATGTCCTTCCCTGCCCCAAGACAAAGCACACAGTCACCCACCACCTCACAGCCACATAGCTGCCTGAGCTGAGGAGAGGATAAGCCTCCTGAGATATAAGTCTTGTAACTCAAGCCCATGTCCTCAACCAGGAGAAAGGAGCCAGAAGGCTGACTTGAGGGTAGACATGTGACAGGACCCTTGGTACCAGTTTGGTGACCATCACTTCTGCCACGGTAATACCATTGGGGGATACCAGCATCTGAATCACCACAGAGAGCTTAAGGAGAACCCAGAAGCCATGAGGGCAACAGAAGGAACATCTAGAAGCACACAGTCACTCACAGGCTCGGAACAGTTCCTTCTGCCAATCTAAAAGAAAACACATCTCATATCAGAGATCTGCAGTCTCTACACATCAGGGACAGCACCCAGTCTTATGAAATACAGCAATGGGGGAGGAAGAAGGAAAAATCTGTGTGAAAACATTTAGCTGGTGTATTGATTTCTTAATATCTCTCTCTCTCTCTCTCTCTCTCTCTCTCTCTCTCTCTCTCTCTCTCTCTCTCT